CAGTCTGAAAATTGTACACTGAACCGAGGGCCAGGCGTGAAGTACGTGGGCACCCGGTCCACGTAAGTCTCCTCCAACATTGTACGCATAGCACCGATTTCAGCTGCGGAAGCATTCGCCATGTCCCTCGACCTGTTATTCACCTGCACGCCTGTTAATGATGTGCGAGGCAACAAACGCGAGTTAAGCATTGGTTACGGCCTGCACAATAGCGCCCTTGGCTCCTTGATCCAGACCGTCCAGCTTAGCCATATCATCCTTGTCAAGTTCGAAACCGTATATGTCGGCGTTGCCAACAATGCGAGATGGCGTGTCGCTCTTAGGAAGAGGAACGTAGCCCTTTTGCAGACTCCATCGGATGAGAACCTGGTTTGGCTCCTTGTTGTGCTTCTTGGCGATGCTAGCAAGCGTCTGGTCGTTGGCTTTTTCGTTGCGGACGATGGGGCAATAGGCTTCGACGACGATGTTCTTGGACTTGCAATACTCGACGACCTCGCGCTGTTGACACCAGGGGTGGAGCTGTTCGTTTCTGTTAGTTTGGCTATGCGATCAGGTGGGAAATGTGACAAACCTCAATCTGGTTGACAGCAGGTAGGCTGGCCTTGCTATCAATGGAGGCGAGCTCATCGATGTGCTGGATGCCGTAGTTGCTGACACCAATGTCGCGCACGATGCCCTTCTCCTGCGCCTGCTTCAGCGCAAGCCACATCAACTTCCTGGCCTCCTTGCCTCCATTGGGGCTGTGGATAAGGAACAGGTCTGCGTAGCCATCCTTTCCGGCAAGCTTCTCAACGCTCTCGGCGACCTTCTTGTATGTAGACTCGACGTCCTCTCCAGCGCTCAAGATCTTGGACGTGATGTACACATCTTTCCGAGAAAGCCCGCTTTCCTTCAGCGCTTGACCAACTTGCTCTTCATTCGCGTAGTACTGGGCTGTGTCGATATGACGGTATCCTGCCTCGAAGGCCTTCTTGCATGAGGCAACGCAGACGTCCTTTGGAGACAGGTAGACTCCGAAACCAATTTGTGGAATCTTGTACTGCGAGTTCGGAAGACTCAGAGTCGAATTGATGTTCAGAGAGTTCGCCGACATGGTGGATAGCGGGGTAGCGATGAATGGAGAATTCTTGAGTGAACTTGTCAGCAATGGACGAGTGCTGATGTGCCGAAGAGCAGAGTGCGTTGAGCGGAGGAATTGAGAAGGTAGGAGCATACCAAGTTGTTGAGAGAAATGGAGTCGCCATCAAACCTCCTCTAGGTAGCTCTAGACGCATACTGCAGTCGCTCCTGCAGTCGTGATGTCACTGCTTGCAACTCCATAGTCGAGAGTGGGTCCACACACACGTTGTGAGCTTTGGAAGAGACCACATGAACGAGAAATCAGACGTTTCAATTATATCACAACATTTGGTGGACTAGATAGGAAGGTATGCTGCATGGTGTGTGCTAGAAGTGGAAGATCAGTCTGACGCGTTCTTCTCGCGCGACCGCGATCAGCTGTTCGCGCTAAGATCTGCCATCCCCACCAAGCACCAAGCGTGTCTTCCATCTTGCTCACGCCCCAAATCATGCCTCGTGCAACTACAGGCAAGATCTGACATTGCTTTCTTGATATGAGTCCGTCGTCCATGCTCAACTACGGCAATCATCTAATGAATGGCCGACGTCATGATCTACCTACTGTTATACATTGGCATCCACTTGGACGCCTACCTGATCCTACGCACTCTGATGCTGAACCCGATAACGCGAGAAGTATACGAGTTTATAAAATCAGCAATGAAATGTAGTTAACGACTGTCTTTATGGCTTTATGGTGGAGAAACACCTTCAGCTGCCTGCCACATGACAGCCAATCCGTCCATCCCGATCGCGTCAACCCCGGCAGCCTGCAAAGAGATAGCAATCGAACAGGCTCTACGTATCCAGCAAAATCGGTGTTGGAAGTTCCTGGTATACGTACCAGATGATAGAGAAAAGCTTGCTACGACAGCAGCATGACTCGGGGTTATGTCGCGCTCAGATGCAAGGCCGTATGAGGGCATCAACCGCTTTAGACAACCGGATCGTGCACTATCAGAAGCGACCTCAATGGTCCTCAAGACCCTATTTTTCGATGGAGAAGTTCCCTTTGACTATCCTTCGCAAACACTTCACCGCTTGATCATCTGACTATTTCCCAGCATCATCCCAATTATCAACGCAAGTCAGCCTCGCCGGTCGTGTCTGCCGGTTTCCAAATGACCACGGCATCTTTTCGGTACAGCTGCGGTCAGATCAATAATAAAGCACTGAGTACGGGACGCCTTACTTCAGAATTGTTACAGCCCATCACATCCCACATGGAAATTGGCTGCCTGAACAACGCAGTATGCCCAGGTGGTTATACGGCAAGGACGGCGCTTGGCGCACGTCACGTATACTGTACCCCATGTACAACAACTCACATATACCTTGTGACTACCCAGCCTCGCAGTAGAGAAGCTTTCCGTAACAGATGGCCTGATGTGGAGGTGGCACAGTGAAGCTCAGCGGTGTGGGGCGCTCAAGACATATAATGTGCTAGACCATAGCTTGTATGCGCCCTTCAAGATTTCAAAAGCCCGTACAAGTCTACACCTCCTACTCGTCTGCTGTACCATCGTGGAACTGAGTCAAGTTAAAACGCTTCAAGATGTTGCTCCCAACCTCGTTTTTACTCACCACCTTCCTGTCTTCCGCGTTCGCACAATATGCCCTCAACAGTTCCGTCGGTTCGTGCGCCGACGTACACTGCCCTGAGGTTCCTCTCGATGGAAGCAATGCCATTAAAGCAGAATGCAATGTCACCAACAGAACCTATGAGAGGATCGGGTTCAGATCCTTCTCCACCGCCATCCTCGATGACAATAACAATTTGACGTGGACACTCGCCGCCCATCTCGATACAGACGTTCCGATAAAGGACCAAACCACGGAGAAAGACTTCTATCTCGGCACCCCTCCGTCTCTTGAACTCGATCGCGACGACCTCCCGTACCGGGGTTGCGCTGTGTTCATATATAATACCACCTTTGGACGCAACTACTCATGGGATTGCGCAGAGGCAATTGGGGCGAGCTGCATTTCGTCGCTGGTAACGCAGGCCAACACACTGCTGGCACTCTCTCCTTCTAATGCAACAGAGACAACGGAAGAGAGCTGCATGCGCGTGCAGAAAGGAATGGAGACTTTCCCAACGGAATGTACAGAGAAGACAAACATGACTTCCTGGAATGCAATTTCAGCCATACGTTCGTGTCCCCATTTCATTCAAAGAGATAGCCCTGTGCTAACTTCTTCTAGCACTTACTGGCAAGGGAGCGCCTACGCCGCCAAACTCTTCTGCCAATGCGAGCTCTAACTGTCATCCGACCCTCCCCAAGTCCAACGATCTCAGTTTGGCCTTTAGCCATAATGAGACCGGCGTGGGGTCCTATACTGATATCATCATCACCACATTCTGGTCGCCAGACAAAGGCGTCGACAATGCGCTGAGTGTTCCCGACACACAGCTCATGTGCCTGTGGGTAAATGGGCTTACAGACGCCTCGGTGGCTACTCATACCGAGAGTTCGGCCAGTCGTTTCTCCATCAGCATGGTGGGTCTTGTAGTTTGCGTGGGCTTAGGTGTTTTTGGACTCATTTAGCATGCTCATATGGCTGGATTCAGTAGTTCGCGGGCGATGCTGTGACATACGACTTAGTATGGCACGTAAATGGAAAGCTTGACGATGATGATCTGAAAATATGAGAAAGTATGTAACTGCACATTAGACAACGTGGACTGGCAAACGAGTTTCATGACCGAGTATATTGAATGTCATGTTTGTCCTCTGACTATTCCCATTCACTGATAGCGATCATCGTGTATTCCCGTCGTTGGATGCTTCGTAGACCTAGTTGATCTTCTTGAGCTCGACCTCGCTATCGCGGAGTTAGCACTTTCGTGGAATTCATACGCGACGCGAACTTACAAGATGAGGTCAGAGTGAGGGGGGATCAAGCCAGGGAACTCCCTATCATGAAGTCAGTACTAGGTCTTGATCAGAAAACATCATGGAGGCTTACTGGTCGCCGTAAGCGAAGTCGCTGCTGATGTCCAGCTTCGCCTTCTCGCCGAGCTTCATCTGAACAACACCCTCATCCCAGCCCTTGATGACGCGACCAACACCGATGGGGGTCTGGAAGGGACCACGGCCAGTGGTGCTGTCGAACTGCTTGCCCTTGTCGCCGGACTGGGTCTTGAGCCAGCCAGTGTACTCCATGGTGACCTTGTCACCCTTCTGTGGGGATGGGCCGTTGCCCTCTTGGATGATGGTCTTCTGGACACCCATGATGCGTGCGGTCGTGGTGAAAGCTCGAGTTGTTGCGCGTTGGAAAGAGGAAGGATTAAGGAGGCTTCTCATGAAGTTGGAGGGTGAGAGGGAGATGAGTGGAGGATGGAAGGTTGCTGTGGGCGGAAAGAAGGAACCTGGAATGCCTTGGAGGGGTAGCTTTAGTGGGGTGGTGGGGTGCAGATCGTCAGCACACAGCCTCATGCACGCTGCAAGGGCAAGGTAATCAGGGCAAGTACGACGAGCATGACCAATGAATCGAGCACGTCAGTACTTGAGGGTGGGTTGACGGCTTGTCTGGGGAAATTGCGTGATCGCATCTACGTCAGGGCATTGGAACTGGAGTTCGCGCTTGCCGCGGTAGGAGAGTACAAGCTATAGCTCTAGATGCATGTGTGTGGCTGGGACGAAGATGCTTCGGCGATGGCGTTAAAGTTCTGCTTGTCGCATCTAGTAGCAAGCGCACTGAGGTTGCTTGCATCCTTCCACAGACTATCTGACAGTCAATTGATCTTCATGTCCAATAGACCAGTACCTCCAGTGGATCCAAGTATGTTACAGTAAACGTGAACCTTTGTCAAACGCCGTGCCTATGAAGAGAGGAGATGTTGTACATTTGCGCGTCCCAAATCTTGCCTGCATTGCTCAACCAAACCATGACTTGTTCCTTCTCGCTTCTCTCCTTGCTTCTTGCTGTATAGGTATTAGCATCTCTTCCGTGGCGGTTTCGCGACGCGTTGTACGGCATGGAGGGATAGTCGCGGTCGATTGGATCGAGGGTGGACAACACGTACCCATTGCTCTTTGCATTCTCGGTATGCCCTGATTGAACACGTATTAGCGGAAGGCCTCCTTATGCAATGCTGGGTCTTGAACCTCCTATGTACTGCACTTACTGGAAGAAATCCGAGCACATAGCTCTCTCACCACCATTCCTCTTCAAACACTTTATACTCTTGTCTGCCGCCTCTTGGCATGGATCAAAGTATTCGCTATACGCTTTGCTATACCAATCTATCAGCGCCTGTTGTGTGCAACATACATTTGCGACGCGATCGTTGCGGTGGCGTACTTGTCGAATTTGCTGGCTTTGGAACCCTTCCATTCGTCGGCTTTCGAGGGGGTCGGTTTGTCGGACATAGTGAAGAGCGAGGAAAAAGACGTCTAAGGAGTGTGTACAGGGCGCGTACTGGCGTGTAATTGTCGGGCAGCCTGAAGATGGCCGGGAGCAGTTGCGACGAGAGTGGATGATGCGCCGCGGAGGTGCGTTATCGATAAGGACATACATGAGGTCAAGAGGCACTCACGCACTTTCCCGATATCACTAATTGCCTTGCGTATCCCAAGGTCCGCAATACCGGCACTAGATCTTAGTATCTGATAACGACAGCCCTCCAATTACAGATACTGCGACTGCTAGGCTCCATAACAGCTGCCAATTATGAATGATTTGAGCTAATTCCTTTGCACTCAAGAAGACCTAACTTGGCGGCTTGCTTCCTCACTACCTGCTATTGATGCCCACGCGTAGAACCGCAGAGGCTAGCCAACGTATACATGCCTAGGTACGTGACGACCCGTCTGGTTCCATCAACGCTTCATCCAGTGTGGGGGCGGGAGGACTGCGGGCGCTAGGACGACCAGCCCACATAAACAGCATGTCGCGTGTATCAAGACGGCTGTCGTGCCATCCACAACTTACGATTCTACTTACGAGATAGTGCTAGCACCCTAGTCATGAGTTGTATGCTTCATTCATGTGATTGACAAGCGATCATGTACCTTGGTAACGTATTTGGCCAGGACTACAATTGCAGAAAATCACCACGCTTCGTCAGGCTAGGCGGTCTTGTGCACAGTACAGGTTATATGACTTGATCGGGGCGGTGCGCAGCTTGAGGACGATATTGAAGGATATCCCGTCTGACGCACTTGAACAGTGCGGCCAGGATGCTTGTCATGCTTCGCATTAGAGGAGCCGACAAGGTCCCGCCTACAATCACAGGCACTCCTTCTCGAGAACGCTATGCATGGACCTGATAAGTGTCGAGCACGAATACTCCAACCGCAGTGATGATCAGCACTCTGAGTGAAGCGGAGCGGAGACGGGTATGAGCTGTGAGCGCAACAATGAAGGTCAATTCGACCGCGTCTGCATGTGGTGGTGCCGCGCCGAAAGCTAGGAAGCTTGTGGGGAAAGAGGCCCTCTTTCGTGCGCCGGGAATACCAGGTATTGGCGTCTTTGAACTGTGGTCGTTTGGGACCGCGGCTCAATGGAAAAAGGATCAAAAGAAACCTGAAGCAAAAACGTTGAATGATGGCATGGGCGAAAATGGAATGTGACAGGAACGTGACGAGTCGCGTGGCCCACGTCATTGGCGTGTCAAGCTTGCAATAGAAGCACTGGACCCAATGAGAAATGACCAGGTATGAGAGCAGAGATAGCCATGGAAATGGTTGGCGATGGTTGGCGCTGGAGGGTGGTGATTTTCCACGGCAGGCGCTAAGGATGGAGTGAAGGTCGATAGTGAACGGCTGCTGCGGCAAATGGCCGGAGGGCAAGGGCAACAGCGACCGAGCGCCAACATGCCTAGGCTAGTAGACCCGCTGCTGCATGCATAACCACTGCCAACGATAGTCTTTCTTCTCTACAAGGGCAAGTCCCATGTGAGCAGATGCTCCGTCTCCCAACCCCCAGCTGCACCTCGCCGTGAGAAAAGAGAGTCACCGCCCGCCATGGACAATCGAGCGTCGCCAACCCCGCCCACCGCTCGCCCCAGGAATTCCGCCTCGTCCATCGCATCCTCGTCCAACACAACGTCACATGCCGCGCCTGCCTCGCAACAGTCTGCCGGCATGCCTTCAAATTCACGGGCCGGGCGCGGGAGCACGCCGACGGCCAGCCGGTCTGCCTCCAAACTCATCGACCAGGACAAGCCGACGCGGGCAGCAAGCAAAGACAGCCTCAAGCAGAAGATGCTGACCAAGAAGGACGAGCCGCCACAGCTGGGCCGCGCAGATGAAGTATGAGACTCTTTATTGCATAGCACATGCATCGGCTAACCGTCCGCAGCAGCTCAAGGCGCTCAAGTCGGAGTTTGACAGCCTTCGCACGCATCTCACATGCAAGATCTGTGACCGCTTACTCTACCAACCGTACACCATATCCTGCGGGCACACCTACTGCTATACAGTAAGACGCGCACCCTCCCACCGCATATGCCACCCTCTAACATGCCTAGTGTCTCTGCACGTGGTTCGTCGCCAACAAGGCCCGCAAGACATGCCCCGACTGCCGCATCGTCGTAAAGGACCTGCCCGCCCCCGCCTATGTGGTAAGTCAGCCTGCATGCCCTTCAGCGACGACGTCTAACATAGTTGGTCAGATACGAGACATGACGAGCGTCTTCATCGCGCGAGCCGAACTACTACCTACGGGCGAGAGCATAGAAGACCACAAGAAGTGGCAGAAAGACGAGGCAGATGCTGTGCAGCTGGACAAGGATAACGCAGACCCCCGCGCTGGCGGTCTCTTCAAAGGCTGCTTCAGGCTTCCGCCTCACCAAAACCGCCTGTCACTGCAAATCGTGCGCGATCAAGAAGATGGAGTTGACCGATGTCCGCTGTGTACCTGGGAGCTGGAAGACGGCGGATGCACCCATTGCGGACTGATATTCGACGAGACAGGCGAAGTCTCATGGGGCAACAGCTTCACCGGCTTCAGTGACATGGACGAGATGTCAGAGCACGACCAAGACGACCTCGACGCCGAAATGGACATGGAGGACCCCGACTACGACGGCTACGGAGACGGCATGGAAGACTGGGGCGCATACCCCCCAGACCAAGGCTCGTTCATGATGCGACGCTTCTTGGACGCTGGCATGGCACCCAATGCAGCGGCATTCGCAAGACGACGACCGATCACGCACAGCGAAGCCGGCAGCCGACGCTCCTACTCACAGAGCATAGTCTCAGACATGTACGGCGACGAGATGGATACGGTCGAGGAGGAAGACGAAGATGGTCTGGACGAGGACTCTTCGATGAACGACTTTATCGATGACGAGGCCGTACCTGCATCGAGTGCACCCAGCGCCGCATCGTCTACTCCTGGCCCCGCTGCCCAGCCTTCGGGCAACAGAGCGCGTGCCCGAGCACGTCGCATCGTCGAATCTGAGTCATCATCAAACCGCTCAAGCACCGTCGAGGAGGAAGACGAAGATGAGGAAGACGAGGGGCCCGTTCGTAGAGGCATGAGGAGTCCTGCTCAAACCCGTGTTTTACATCGGGCAAACGGGTCGAGATCCTCCCGTGAGACAGCGTCAACAACATCCACCGACGTCTCCACTGAGGAGCTCGACGAAGATACACAAGCACTGTTGCGAGAGGAGGGATGGGAGCTACAACGCGACTACGACGACGAGATGGGAGAAGAGGATGAAGATGACAGTGATGGAGGAAGGACGACCGTTGGGTGGGAACCGCTTGCGAACTCAAATGACAGAAGCCGAATGGGCGGTTCTCTAACACCTACTGCAGATCGTCCTCGGCCTAGTGCCCCGATACGCCCGCCTTCCAGAACCGCCAATGTCCGCGTCTTGAATACCTCGCGTGGTCTCCGTCGAAGATCCTCTGTCCTGTCGAGCGCGACAGCCCACTACGAAGATGGGGAAGCGGACGACGATGATTCTGACCAAGATGGCGACGTCGATCTAGCCCTGAACACCTTGCGGACGCGCCGCTCACAAGCCCATTTGCGAAACCCTGCAGCTCGCGCTTACAACCAAGGGCCTGCTGCTGCGGATGGGACCAACGAGGCGGACACTGATGATAACTCGGATAATTCCCAAGGGCACAGGCGAGGGGCTCCTCGCGTGCAACGTCGGGAATACGATCCGCGTATCAGCTGGATGTTCGCTGCCCATCAACAAGCTCTTCAACAACACCAGATGGCAGGCGCCTTGATAGACGTCGAACCACGCACCATGACGCCGCTGTCTCGTCCTCGAACAAGGAACAGAAATCGGCCCAGTCCCGCGCAAGCTTATTCCCCCTTTCTACCTCCTGCTCGCATTCGAACGCCGCTTATGGACAACGGCACGAACTATATCATGGATCCGCGACTCCCAATATCGCCACCTCGACGAAGCGCCATGTCACCTGGCTTACCAGCGATGGGCAATGCCGGCCACATGGGCCGCTTTGATCGTGCGCCTTCTGTTGGTTCCAACAGCAATAGTTCTGCCGTCTTGACTCCTGGAAGTTCCTCAGCCTCTTCGCAACACTCCATCGATACGATAGCACAGACACAGGCAGCTGCGGCCATGGACATGATAGATCGTCCTATAAGTCGAGTCGGTGCTCGCCCATCTTCGGCAAATAGCAGGAGGAACTCTGGCAACTTTGCTGCAGCGAATGCGTTTCCTCATGCTGCCATGGGCCTGCATGTCCAGGGTGCGGCTCTTCCTCCTTTTGCTGCGCGCGGTAACCCTTGGGCTGCATTTGTTCAGGCACGTGGTGTGCGCAATCGTAACTCACGTCAAGTTCTCCGTGATCAGTCTTCGGTAGCTACCTTGCGCCCAGCGAACTCTCGCGTCAATATTAGAGAGGCTGGCAACCCTCCGCAAGGCGTGAGGCCTCAGCCATCACGTCTCAATCTACGACCTCAGCCATCGCGGCGCCAACTCGCTCCTCAGCCATCTACACGAGCCTTGCGCACGGCTGATAATGGGAGACCTCCCCCATCACCTACACAGAACGTACAAGCCCCTGCGCAACCTGCTGCTCGTTCCGTCGGGCTGACTCCAGACGAACGCAATCTTCGGGCTCGGGAACTTATCGAGACCAGAAGACAAGCACTTGGTCAGCGAGACACGAGTGTGCCCGCTCGTACCAATCCCTTCACACAAGGCTTCCAGCGTCCGGCGAATCCAACTGGCTCTCCTCAGATGCAGCAGCCAGCTACAGCACAACACGTGAGGAGCAACTCAAACGAGTCCAGCAACTCCACTGGGACGGTTCAAGGTGCTCCTGCATCACCAGTGCTTGGTCGACGCCGTAGCAACCGCAACATGCTAAACTCTACGCCACCCGGTGTTCTCCCACCGCAACAAGGTGCTTATGCTGCTCCTCCCGCACAGTATGCAAACAGCTACTACCGACCACGGCCAGGATCTTCGGGCTCACCCGGAGCATATGAACCCACTTTGACGAACAACACGCGGGGAAGTCCTATGATGGCGGGCCCTCTTATCTAACACGATATCATGTCATAAGATATATTTCTTTTATTTTATCGCTTTGTTGCTTTGGTGTTTTGGGCATCACACTCCTTTGGTCTTGGACTATTCTTATCTTTTGGGTCTACGAGCATGGCGAGCGTATGTTTGTTTTTACGTCTGTTTTTAGCGGCATCAAAATGGGTTCAGCGAGCTTTGTCGAAGCATTTACTGGCGTCATTCATTCGGGTACTATACCACGGCATGAGCGATTGGGTCCTGGGCAGGCATAAACATGAACGATGGGGAAGAAAGGGGATATTATCTTAGGTTATTCGCATTTGGGGTGATGAATATGAGATTTTTGATGGTGCTATACTTGGAGCTACACGAGGGTGACAAGCTAAGTCTGTTCTAAAGCAGCTGTTCCAGACTTGTTCTTAGGTTGCTTGCGCAGATCCTTCCTTGCTTCCTGTACCTCGTCTTCTGAGTCCTCTTCTAGATCCTCTTCATCTCCTTCCTCGGCCTCTTCTACTTCGTCGCCCACTTTATCTGCTTCCACTTCATCTCCCTGTTGCTTTTTTCGCTTTGCGTTCTGTTCCTTCTGCTTTCGCTCCCTGTTTACCCGTCCCTCATTCCAATCCTCTGTGTTCTTATGTCTACACTCCTTACAGTTTACCCAGTTGGAACGGGCATTGTCTTCCAGGTAGTTCTCCTCACACTTTTTGCATAATCTCGGCTCCTTCTTCTTGCTTCCGCCCTTATTAACGCTTGTCTTCTTGATGGCTGTTCTGTTGACCTTTGCCTTGGCGGCTGTTTTCTTGACGTGTGTCTTCTTTGCTTCGTCTTCTTGCTCATCCTCGCGCTCTTCACTGTCTATGTCGTTCTCGGCCCCCTCGGCTCCTTCGTCGCCGTTGCCATTGCCTACCGGCGCAGCAGAAGACCTCAGTTCAAAGCCATAGAGGAAGTGGAGTCTGTCTGTCTTCTCCTTGAGTTCCTTCTGTAGAGCTGCGATGCGCTCAATCAGTGTTTTGATCTCCTCACGGAAAGGAATTGGTTGGATGGGAAGTGACATTTCGTAATTTCGTTGTTTTCCATTGACTTATCCCGTGGTTTACTTATATGGTATGGCCTGGTTTGTCTGTTTGCATGGAGCGCAGTCTAGAGAACGTGCAAGTTGGTCGGAGAAGGAAGTTGGAATGTTCGCGTACTTGAGTATGGGCGACATGACAAACTGTCTTATGCGTGAGGAGTCAGATTGATGCTACAGAATCTTCTCGGAAAGAGTACAATGACTTTTATTTGCTTAATCTATGACTTCACGTCTTCACCACAGAGAAGTACACTGAGCTCTAGGCCTATCCATGCCCATGTCCCATGTCTTCATACCACTAACCGCTCTTTGCGATTATGCCAGGCGAAGTTCGTCTACTCCAACATCTATGCCCCCAATCACTCTTGCTCATCCATCAACGCATCCATCCTCTTCGACACCCCCTCTAGGTGCTCCCGGGACCTCTTCTCAGTATCCTCCACATTCGCCAAGCCCTTTTTCAGCCATTCTCTCAAGTCTCTGAACCAGTAGTATGCCGAATCTTCCATCTTCTCCTCCTCCTCCCTCAACTCTCTAGTCAGTTTCTCGGCAGCCTCAGCTCTAACCCACTTTCCATCCCGGTTCCTGACAGCAACTGCCTTGGTGAATGAAGTGAGTCTTTCATTTAGTCCTGATTTGTTGGCGGCTTTGATGTTGCGTTCCATGCGATCGAATCGTTGGGCAAGACTTTGTATGTCAGTTCTGATTGCACTGATGTCCTCTAGGAGAAGTTGACGAGCGTCTTTGACGGGTTGAGCAGCCGATTTGACATCTTTCATTTGAGGGGTTGTGTGGTCCATTGAGCTTGTGATTCTTGTCGTTGTGAAGAAGAGATTTAAGATGAACAGAGTAGGGAGAGGTGATAGATCAGGTATATTATAGTGCTCCCACACTGCGTCTCTTGTAGGTTTGCTAGAAACTGAGTGACTGGATCGCATGACTACATGGCAAATCAGTGGTTTTCTAATTCGTGGTACGCATGCTATGAGCGCGATAGCCGTCCTCGGTCATCAAGGGCCTCCTAGTGACGAGGCGATTGCACATCTTAACAATGATTTGGCCTTGTTTCCATCAGCGATGATGCAATGAAGGTGTTGTGTCACGCCTGTGCTGATGATAAATACTACAAGATTGGTGCTAAACACGCCGAGGCAATATTGGAATGTGTTCACGGATCTAAAGAAAACAACCATCTGTCCTACATCTCAGCTAACCACCTCCCTTCTCGGCCCTTCCCTCTTGACTATCAGCTACTGCTCAAGCTCGTCAATCCTCGTCATGACCTTCTCAAACGCGTTCCCCACCATCCACTCCAACTTCTCGTAGATCCATTCCGGCCCCGCAACAGTCACAGCCTTCCTCGCGTATTCTTTCTGCATCTCCTGCATTGCCTCGGTCTTCATCTCATTCATAACCATACATGAAATTATGTTTAGAACCATTTCCCCCCTCACGGTTTCCTCCACGCAGGTTTCCAACAGGGATTGGAATTCCTTGATCTTATCCGTGATGGTCTTCCTGCCTTCTTCTGCGTCGTTGCGGATCCTGGTGGTGCTTTCGGCGGTGAGAGTATTGACAGTGTTGGTGAAGGCGACAGTTGCGGTGACGAGAGCCATTTTGCTCTCGAGATCTGCGTTTTTGTTTCGCAGGTCGTTGATCTCGCTGGGGAGGTCTTTTGTGTCGTTCTTCATGGTGTTCAACTCGTTTTGGAGGCGCTGGAGAGTAGTTTCCATGGCTTTTTGTTTGGTTTGTTGGGAAGTGGACATGACGTGATGGTGGTGTGACGAGAAAACGGTACCAGACGGTGAGAGATAAGTTGTCTTATACAAATCTGGAAATTAAATGGGTTGCGCTCAATGAATGCTGCGCGTGGGCTGGATAGCAAATACACATGCTATCTTGTGATCTCGGACGCAGTATGCATGTCACGTATCGCAGTCACCTACTCAACCCTACCCGTGAGTTGCAAGCATTCATTCTGGCACTCCTCATCTCACATTTGTTCCCTACCGCGATGCCTCTCAGCGTCCACTTGTTATTTCACGTCACAGCGACTATGTGTTAGGGAACTGTAGGATATTTAGGAGAAATTAGAGCTTGACTAGGTACTCAGCGAGATCGCCATGCTCATACTCCTGACAGCCGATGTTCCAGTCCGGAAGACATGAAAGACTGCGGCGATGATACAGCCGACAAGCTCCTCTCCTCGTAAATCAACATGATTGACGATGTACATCAAATATC